TCTGCTGGGGGTGCCAGCGTGTCTTTACTAATGTTATCAAAGCTTACCAAGGGACTTTTCCACCGTGCTATTCCACAATCTGGAGATGCATCAGCTTATTGGGCTATTGGCAATCATAAGAGTCGCATCAAATCAATGGAGTAAGCAAGACATAATAAATCAGCGTTCCTGATGATGTGCATTGTGCTTTTTGAGGACATGCATGTTTATTCCTGTCGAGTGTTTTTGAACGGTTATTATACTCGATTTCCTGTGCCAGTTTTTTAAATCTTTGAGCGAATTTTCTCCGCTTACATATAAARCTGTGTGACTTTTACTCGGCGTTTAAATAAAAGATTCTATAAAAATCACCCCATGAAAAAGACGACGTCATATTTGACTTGTATTTGCAATTAACTCGTTTTCATTTGACCACGGCTAATAGCTGGTATCACACTCTGAATTGGTTTGTTTTCTTTTGTTCTTTGCGGAAATGAAATAATCTATTTGTTAATTTTGTGTTTTTGAGGGTATTTGCCAAGAGCGTTGGATGTCCAGAGGATCTCAGCAAACTTAGAGACTGCTTGAAACCCAAGGACGCCATGACAATTATAAATGCTTCCCTTGTATGTCCAATTTCTACTTTTATTCCTATTGTTGATAATCACTTTCTACACGGTAGGTGAATTTGAATCATTCTTGAAACATATGCTCCCAAATATATGGACGTTAACCATGTTGACCGATGATGGGAGAGAAGCGACTGTAAATCGAAAATTATTCTAACTAAATTATTCTGACTGAGGTAGATCCTTTCTCTTTCCAAAGATGTGTGGTTGCTGGCCAAAGAATGTCAATATGATGATAAAAATTTTTACTTCGCAGTAATGTTTCAGATCTTTCTTATCTGATCTCCTAAGTCCGCCCCTAAAGAAGCATTCGAATCAGTTATAACTTGCTGCTACCCATCCTGGTATTTCAACTCTGACGTGGTTCGAAGCTTACATGTACATTTATGATTTGTGTTTAGATAAACCAATGGAATTGTACGAAAATCAAGACTTTGAGAGATATGATATCATGACTGGAGTAACAAACGACGAAGGCCTCGTCTTCACCAACTTTTTTGGAGGTATTTCCAGGAATTTGRACTATTTCCAGGAAACGTTTCTTTGACATGCTCGAACATCGATGAGCGCCATTAACTTTAACATAGATTTACCACAAAAGGAACTCGAAGATTACACATTTTTCGCGCGGAAGTCCTTGAGTGATACTCAAAGATATACAACAAGGACCTTCAATGCAACCAGATTTCTTCTCAATTCCTTAGATAGAAACCTATTGGTGACACAACAGCCTCTGTCATTGCACGCTTATACTGTTCGTCTTGGTTTGAATCAAACGCACTGCTGTCCTTTAAACTAAATCAGCTTGTGTAGAAACTTGAACTCCTTATACACACTCTATTATTTCCCTGAATTGTTCGAAAGATCGAAAATGAGTACATCATCACTTTTGTCAAATCTGTTTGGTCATACTATATTTTTATAATTTCTAGGGATTTTTGGGGGCTTAAACGTAACCAACGGTGTTTCCAGAGAAACCTTCCTAGCTTTCCTCAGAGGAGGAGGACTATCTAGGGTAATACCAGATCCAAAGTCGGTTTTGATAAATACAACTATCTACCGCTACACTGACTACACCAACGTCTCGAGCCCCATCATAAATCGTCGTATGTACGTGGATCTTCAGAGTGATATGGGATTTTTAGCGCCTGCCATAAGGGCCGCCAATGCACTTGTTAAGAAGAAAGCAAAGACTTATTTCTACTTGTTTGAACATCGATATGGAGATCTTCTTATGGGGTCGAAACTTCCATCGTGGGTGGAGTCGTACCATGGAGCAGACGTCGCTTTTGTGTTTGGTTTTCCATTGATGAGCAGTTCCCCTGTGACGACGGAAACGGACGCACGTTTCACACGTGATATCATTAGATATTGGACGAATTTCGCCAAGACAGGGTATGTTCCAGTGATGATAAGGTAGTAGATGCCAACGTAGTTTTGATGAATTTAAAAAATCATTTAGCTTCAGTGTTTATTTCTTACTTTGGATCACATGATCCCACTAATAGGAGAGATAGTTATTATCGTTTCTTATGTAAACAATTGACATAAAGGAACAACTCTAAGCTGGCGAATCTCACATGTTCATGGGAAACTGAAGAGCGAGAGAGTGAAAATATGAACTTGTTCATCTAATTCATGTACTTGTTTCGTCCAGGGATCCAAACAGTCCAGTTAGAGTGGATGTTACTTGGCCTGAATACAACCAGGAGCAACAGCAATACATATCATTGAAACCCAACATGTCGATCCACAGCCACCTTCGAGCTGATTTTATGGCATACTGGAACTGTCTCATTTCCGAAGCACTCCGTGCGGCATCAGAGCCATGTGGAGCTCATCAAAGTCATGTGGAGAAGCAAAGTACAGAAGGAAAAGAGGAATTGTAGCACAACTTCTGATCGTTTGAAATTAACCACGAAAATCACGTCGTCTATCCTTGTTTTAATATGAATGTTTTAAGATTAAAATTGTGACACCTCAGGTGTAGTATCTATATTTTTCAATCCAGGCTTAACACAAAATCATGACACTGCTATGAATATAGGATTATATAATAACCTGGACGTTTCGTGAGGACTATAAATAACTAGAATAACCTGCATTACATTCTGCAGTCAAACATGTGCACACTAGACTTGTTAAAAAACATCTCCTAAAAACAACTTTCCTCGCAAAAAAAAAAACGACAAAAACAAAACAACAACAACAACAAACAAACAAACAAACAAACAAAAAACAACAAAACACACTAGTGATTCACCTGATTTGTTATGGTTTCCATTCCACTTAACTTTCTGAAGAATGCACACTAAACTAAGGTCTCATTCTATCTATAGAATGAAAAGAATAAGCCTTAACACAGGTAAACCACATATACTACGTCCTTACATGGGACGTGGTTAAACACAAATGTTTGTTAAACCTACATAAGCTATCTTCCCCCTATCTTCGGAAGACTATGTAATAGACCAATCCCACATTCGCTTGGATGAAGACGAAACAATGGCTTCATTCCGAGGCTTATCTTTTGTCGAAAACTCCAGCCTCGAAATAAAGCCATTGTTCCGTGTTCATCCAAGCGAATTCGGGATTGGTCTATTACGTCCCATTGAATATTCGGGTCAACTTAATTGATTTTTGTGCGTGCCATGTGCAACGACGTGACGTCAATTGTCCGCCGCATTGTCATAGATACGAACTCCTGGGATCTCCAAAAGTATGTTCCAAGAAACCTTATAAAAGAAACAGCAAACCTCCCATTCTTCTTTTATCGCTACACCCTGCTTTTATTTCTGACTTGTGAAAATCTGCAAAATTTCAATACTGTCCAAGTACCAAGCCTAAAGATCGGCATTAACTAAATGATGAGCAATATGCATATCTCATCTTTGATTTTCATCAAGAATGAAGTAAACAAACGGAGGGCATAAAAGTATCCTCTTTAAAATATTTCTATCCTAAATCTAATAGGGCCTCTCCTTTTCAAGCGTGTCCTCAGAGCAGCTATGGTGTGACTATGATGAGTCACGATGCTGTTGGAAAGCTAGTGCTCGCGTGACGTGTCATTTGATTCGTAAAACCAAACCCTTTTCTTTTAACAACTGCGTTTTTGTTGTTTGACTATTCGCAAAGTTAGTTGTTTTTAGTGCTTAAACGATTCAATTCAGTGACGTCATTGCGTCTAGAGACTGTTTGCAATGATTGTCACTCCAATTTGTCACTCGTTGATCTTTGGATAATACTTGCTTCCGAGTCTTCCAACGAACATGTCTGTGGTCGTTCTTCTACTTGCTATCGGGGTATCATTAGCCCCTTTTGTCAACTCTGTCACTTGGACATCTGAAGTGAAGATCAACAGTGGGAAACTTCGAGGCTACGTTAGAGTAGTAAACAACACTGGCGGGCTCAAAGTCAGAGGATACCTTGGAATACCGTTTGCACAGGCAAAACG